TGCACAAACGCGTCTTGACGTTGCGATGCTCAAAATAATAATAATAATAATAATAATAATAATAATAATGGAAACATCTCATTTTCAATTTTACTTAAACTACAATTACAAATCTCAATATTACAGGGTAATTTGCAATTGGCTAGCCTGGTTTTACAAGAAAATACTATAACAATCGTAAATTAAAAGGAAAAACTGAGAAAAAAAAATAAAATAACCAAAGCTAAAAAGAATGTAATTCCGGATTTGTCCATGGTTTATTTTTGCAACAAAATATGTAGAACGTAGTACGGATGGCAATGGTGGAGAGTTTAGAAATGAGATACCGTTTTTGTTGCTGATCGATGGAGAGAGAGTCACACATTTTGAAGAATGAATTGCAGGAATTGCCGAAGATGCCAAGAGAGCTCATAGAAAGATTAACAAAGGAGACACACTTGAATTGCCTCTGAAAACCAGATAAGAGAGGAGCATACTTGCTGTGTTTTCTTGTAGCATTTGTGTCAAGATTGGATTCGAAGCCAACAGTTAGCTCTGTAGAGGTAATTGTTGTTAGTCCTCAAGAGAAGATAAGGGCGAAGGTTTTCTCCAGTTATGATTGATGGTGAAAATAAACCGGGTATATCAGCGTAGATGGTAGATTCATTGACAGGGTTTCTGGCAGAAAACAGAAAGAACAGTCAGAGGTCTGGCTCAAGTTCCACTTTTTCAAGTTTTTCTGTGTAGCAAGGGTATTGTTTAGGTACCTTATGGTGAAATTGAAAATATTCTGAGGCATGCTACTTTGCACCTTGGACCAAAGTTTGTTTATTTGTGGAAGATCCTAGTTAAAAAGATGTGATAATAAAGATCCTTGGGAAGTTAGAATGTTTTGCAGACGATCTTTATGTTCTTGCTGGACAGCCTTTAATGCTTCTTTCGTGTTCCTTCTATTGTATATTTGTGCTACTGCTGGTAATTTTCCATAAAGAACGAATGTTATCGTTTGGTGAAGATTTCAATGCGTTGCTTAAAATACTTTGACACTGTAGGAATTTGGCGGATGGTAAAGTTAGGCTGAGTACAAACTGGTTTTCTTGAAAAAATAATGCTACTCAAGGTAGCACTTATTGGGAAGTCGAGCCACTGGCGGATGTATTTGGATACGAGGCTGTCAAGATTCTCGACAACCCACGTCTTCGAAAGATCTGCTACAGTAAGGTTCCAAGAGATTTTAGAAAGAACTAAGTTGTGATAAAGAAGCAGCTTATTTTTTTCATGAAGAGACTGGGAATCGATTTATTTGAGCATGTTGCACAGTGGTGATGAAAGATAAGATTTATGTTTTTGGTTTGTCATTTCAAAGTCAAATTGACGACCGAGGTACTTGAAAGAGTTTCCATTCGAGACAGGTGGGATAGATTCAATATTTATGAAAAGCTTAGGTTGATACTGAAGAGAACGTGTGGAAAATTTCTGTATTCCAAAAGTGATGCATTTATCGACACGTATGATCATGTTTGCCCATTGGCACCAGCGAGTGAAACAATTCAGTAGAAGTTGGTTTTCTCTCTCATTGCTGGTGATAACGACAGCATCGTCTGCGAATTGAAACCAATGGACTGGTTGAAACATACGGTCGTTCTGATCATGTGGGGAGAAACCTAACTGTTAGTATTTTTCAGCTTTTATGTACTGTATGAATGTGTTGAAGCATAGATTAAATAGTAGAGGACTGAGGCAGTCGCCTTGAAGAACACCGCGACGGACTGGAATAGCAGGAGTATTATAGTGGCTTGTGATGATAGAGGTTTTAAAATCGGTGTAAAGGCTAGAGATAAGAAGCTGGGGATGTGATGATAAGACAGTATAGTGGGTATCAAATTATGATGTACTTCGCCAAAGGCATTTTTGAGATCAAGAAGAGTGACAACCAGCAAGCGCTATTTTGTACATGCTTTACGTTTTGTACGTTTAGTACATGTACAAAATAAAAATAATAATAATAATAATAATAATTAGTTAAAGGCTGGATTCATTCAAAACAGGTAAAGAAGAAAAAGACTTTTCAAATAAATTTTCATCTGCTATCATTCTAAAGGAGCTGTTGAGTTTTCTTATATTTCAAAGAATTAATCAGTTGGGCAGAAAACCTGAAATACACTGGTGAATATTGCCAGTTGAGCCTGTGAAGACCTTCCTAAAGTCTAAGGCAGAGCGTCTCTTCAACCGGGTCTGTTAATTTTAAGAGGGTCTTGTTCGAGGCTGCATAACTCCATGGCAAATCTCTAAAAATTCCCCGAGTCGTAAGACCCTAATGTTTCTAAAATCTCACGCTGCATCCATGTATTGCCACCACTCTGTTGGGATTTCCATTCATGCCAGCTCGTTTAATATAGCAGTTCAGCAAATTCTTGTTGTTGATTCATAGAGTTGCTTGCGTAATTAATGTTTGTGCAGGTTTTGGGCTGGCCTCAGGCTAATCATTGGCTGACTCAAGCTATTCACCGGTGCAAACGAACAACTTAATGACATTTATTAATCCGTGAATACATTTTATTCATAAAAATATTTGACGTAAAGTTTGTATCCTGTTTTTCTAAATGCCGATTGGTAGAAATATCTAGTTTGCGTAGATTAATAGTATATAAAACGTCAGACTGAAAGGTAAGAGGCAACAGAAACGAAGATAGAGATATAAATAATAAGTATCGAGTTCTACGGAGTACTATGAAGAATGACTGGGTACAATTGTAGTGTCTGCTTTGGTGCTTTCTTGGCATTTTAACATCAAACCACTAGAAAATTTCCCGATGCACAGTTGGTAAAATTTCAATCCCAAAGAGGCGTTTGAAAAGAGAGGCATTGTCTTTCATAACTTTCAATTTTGTTTTTCATAACGCTCTAAAGACTCAAGCCCAATCTTCTCAATTTTTGCACTTAAAATTATGGACTCTGGTACCTCGGCAAATTGCACGCAAACACAATTCTTGGACCAATCAATAAAAGGAAGCTGCCAAGGTTTTAAAACACAATTTTATCTGGAGAATCTTTTCTAAACCTGGTTTTAATGACTTTAACGTCACAAAATCAATCAGATAACCAAGAAATGCAAGCTTGTATAGTCCAAATACATCGTACAAACAGACGTCACCTCTTAATTGGTTTTATTTATCATTATATATTTTGAAAAGGTTTGGCTTTCACAAAAATACTTTGCTGCGCAGACCTCTTTAATTTCAGCTGTTGTTCTAGGGAGTTTGATAGTTTGATAGGAGGAATTATTTGGTTAAAAACTCAACTCACTTTATTCGCCATTGAACTTTTTCGAAACGCAGGATGCAAACTTGCAAAGTTAAGAGTAAGAAGTAAACCAGAGAAAACTAGCCATGTGTGAATTAGCCACTAATAGCAATTACCCTCATCATACCTAGCAAGGTTGTATAGAACCTTATTTGAAAACGAGAAAAACAGAGGAAGCGAACCACCACCCTCCACCCACCGCCTACTTAATAAGCAATCAAATCGAATCAAATCATGCTCTATAGATCGATTTTCACCTGCCGAAATTTATGGTTTTGACTCACAACTTAATGACAGCACTTCAACCTTTGTGAAACAGAATTGTACCAAATTGAGCAACTCGATGCATTATACGTTTTTTATTTAAAAAAACTTAGATCGGCACGAAGCACTAAGTTTCTTAATTTGCCATCCAAATTTGGAGTTTTTGTACTAAAAGTTTCTTTGTTGGTTTCTTATATTTGGGACCTAGAATTCCTTAAGTGTTTTGACGTTTTTTAATCTTGTAAGGGTATAAACGCAGATCGTCACGAAAAAACACATGTGGGTCCAATTTAAAAAATATGTTTTGGGAACCCAAGTAAAAAGTTATGATCTCTTTTTATTAAAAATGCAAATTTTACAGTCTCTTTATTTCTCTTCAGCCTAGTACTATTCTCTAATAAACTAGTTTTTTCTATTTAAAAAACACTTGCTTCGATGTCTGTTGCTTCCGTCTGTTGCTTTCATGATATCTTCATACATAGAATCAGGAAAGTGTTGAAACAAGAACGAATAAAACTCTTTGTCCGCGAGTTATTTGTCTTAAACTATGTATATGCTTTCAGTCATTTCGTTTCGTACACAGAGCAAGTATTCCATACCAATTAAAATGATTAAAAGGTGTTCCTTCCGCGGTATTTTGCCCGCTATGAGTCATGTTATTGATACGAAAGAAATTCGATGACGCTAGCAAAGTGAAACAATATAGAATACGGACTTGAAAAGAAGCAGTCACTGATGAAGTTCACTTGTTAATAAGATAATCACTTCGAAACTAATTATTTTTAAAATCAAGAAGAGCAATGAAATATTTACATTGACGGTTTAAGCTTCCAAACTGAGGAAGCATTAAACCCGTTGAATAAATGGTTTGGAAAAAACGAAAATGGCAAGTGAATATAATTTTCAGGCTAGAAATCTTGTATTCGTAATTTTTAAGGAGTGACCATTATCAGTTGAGGAAACAACTAATGCAAGGGCTGTTTCCTAGAGACAAATGTCTTAAGTAAATATCTTGAAAATTTGACTCGCGAAGTACATTTTTCATATAAATCGAATGTGGAATGCATGCGATAACTGATTCGATAGCCAAAACTTATAAGTTGCTACAGAGCCAGTATTAATTTAAAACAGGCATCTGTTTTACATAATTTTGTCAAGCGACGAACACACTTGTTTTCTCTAGCGTCAACCTTGTTTTTCTTACTGGTACGACATGTTGATATTTTGTACGATATCTTGTACGACACATTCGGTGCGACATATGATCAATATTCCGGCACCTTTTCGTAAGGTATCTTCGTCACATTTTCAAACGCGGTTACAAAAAGAGCAAACTAGCGTCTTGTTCATCCATCCAGTCGTGTCTTTTAATACAACAGTCACATAATGTAGATGCATCAAAAATAAAACTAAATTTGTAAATTAAGATGGGGTTGAAAAATTGCTATACAAACCCATTTTTAGAAAATTTGTTTTGAACTGGATTATTTCAGAAGTGACAGCAAATACCCAGTTGCCTGCGTTGTAAGACTCTGTTGTCGACTTGAATGTTACCACTTATAACTGATAAAACGGTTGCTTTGGATTCTTTATATAGCAGGCATTTCCGATGTAATGACCAAGGGCGTAACCGACGAAACCAGACGACGGTTTTGACAGCAACTTTGCCAGAATCAAAATATTCCACGTGCCGAGGACGAATTTCCCTGCAGTCTGTTTAGACTGACAAAACACAATGGTTTCTAATCGGCAAACACGGAAACCATTTGAGCGATGCGTTATATTGAAAACATCTTTTCCTTTCCTTTGCTTTCCTTTGTTAGGTCCACTTTGTTATTCAACCACGCGTAGAAGTCATCGAAATTCAAACAAAACGAATAAGTTTTATCCGCGATTGATAGCGATGTCCAACACAAAGCAAACATGCTTAATGAGCGTTCCCACTCAAGAAAACATGCTCAAAGTAATGGGATTGCACACTCATCTAATTTCAAACAATGGATTAATCAAACCGTGAATTGTTGCGGTCTACCATTTTCTCTCAGTCAATTTTAATACCAATGACGTCAGACATGTCTAGAGGGGGCGAACTGCATCAAACGTTGGCAATTGGCTGTATATTTTCTGAAAAATTGTTTTCCAGAAGCATTATTGTTCTTTTGATATACATATAATCCAATAAAAAGTTACAGTACATATTACTGTCTACACTTTACAATATTTTACAATAAAATACAATAAGAACTACTCTACAATACTACTGGGACAAAAACTCCCGGACAGAAAAAGGTTGTTGCTACCCCAATACTGAACAGACTTTATCCTTTCCATAAAAAGGTATTCTGACTGAGTTGGCACATTATAGCCGGGATATGGTATATAACATCTATGGCTATGGGGATGTAATGTTATGGGTGATGTCTTACTTAGACCTTGTTCACTTAAAGTATGCCTTGGAAGATATTTGTTGTCCAATTTTGCTTATATTTGGCTGCCAATTATTCTAAGCAACTAAGTTCGAGAAAAGTACTCTTTTTCTTAATTTCTGGTTGGCTAAAACTTTTACATGTTTGTTAAATGCCAGTTTAAATAAATACCTTACAAAATAGCGTACGTTAACAGAGGACAGAAAACACAGTTGGTTTTATTCTATATTTATGGAAATAGGTAATTTAATCAATTTAAAAAGGTTACTTCCAGTCGATGTTTATCAGATGGAGTCTGAGACTACCAAGTACTGTGGGTTCCTAGTTTTTACCATTAATTAGTTTTTTAAAGACGGTTTCTTATAAAAAATATGCGTGTGCTAAAGTTTTTGTCTGACAAGGCGGGTTCAAATGGTCACTCTTTCTTATTCATGATTTCGTAATGAAACGCATCAATGAAAAACCCTATCTAGTGCTAATTAAACTCGATCTAGTTTGTTCTCAAAGTCGTTTATATTAATAAAAGATTAAAGAAGGAATGAGAGGGCAGTTTGGGTTGAATAATGAAAATTTGCTTGTCTGAAAATATAAGATTAATTGCATAATGTGTGTTATGTTATTGCATAAATCATGCTTAAATAAACCTTGCTAACAAAAAAATTATAACTTTTAACAATTCTTTTCTTTTTACTTAGTAAATGTTACAAAGGTTCTTGTGACCATTGGAACATTTCGTTTTCAAGACAGGAACTCCATAAACTAAATACTAAAAGAAATAATCTTTAAGTCCTTACTTATGTTTATTCAGAAGCCAATCCATATTTAGTTCAGATAATTTCTCTTGGTGCTCGTTGATTCATCTCCTTCGCCTACATATTCCCAAGAATAACAATCAGGCACATATTTGTAATTTTACTTCAAGAGAAAGTTGGTGTAAAATGATTTCTGTTCGTATTTCCTCTAAATATTTTCAAGTCTAATCTTCAAACTCGTGAGCTAATACTGAAATCGTTTTCTTAATTGCGAATATAAATTGTTTTGAGCTATCTAACTATAACAGAAGTAAATATTTTGCTCCCAAACATATTTTCCTATGCAAAATTTCAGACTCCATTATATCAACCCAGATAATTGCCATGTGAGCAAATGTCATTTTAAAAATTCGAGTGCCCCTGAGTGAGGAGACAAAAATAAATGCCGCGCAAGAAAAAATTCCGGATACAAACACACCTAAGATGCTCTGTTCATTTTGAACCCCCTGGAAAAAGCTGTGCAAATACGTTTCAATTAGTCCTCAATAATCAAGTCCCCTCATTTAAAACTTCTCGACGGTTATCCCCAAGATTGTTTGCTTCTTTTAAACCCCAGACAAAGTTTTGGAAATAAATTTTTGTTAGGCCTTTGCTATTTAATTCCATTTTTTTTAAATATAGAAAAATACATCGGAAGACCAAGTCCGTGAACAGCACACAGTTTTCACAGGTGCCCAACACGCGATTGTCATGATCTTAATAACGGGTTGAACAAAGAATTAATCTAGCAACGTTGTTAGAGAGCTTTACGTCCAGTACCTTGACAAGAGCGCCAAATGGATTCAGAAGATAAGGAACTTTGCAGTGGCGGACTAACAGGCATGCTAGGTTGCGATCGCAACCCGGGCCCTCTCAACTTCATAATAACCGGGCCCTCCGTAGATAAATTCGAGAAAATAACTCAGTTAATTTCAAAGATATCTATCTTCAAGAGAATACAAGTCACAGAAATGAAGATAAAATCCTTAGAAAGAAAACATTTCAGTGTTCCTTACCAGGGGCGTTGTGGCTAGGCGGGACACCGGGAAATTTCTCGGTGGACCCCTTTCAAGTGAGTTTATAAAATCCAGGGAAATATCTTATATGGACAAATTCTTTGGTGAGAAAAAGCCTCACTTACATTTATACCCAAGTTCACAGTTCAGAATTAGAGGAGGTCAATATTTGCAAACAGGCAACTGTGAAAGAGATGAGTGGAATATGAACAGGGCTCCTGAGAGGGGGCAAGGAGGGGCAAACTGTCCCAGGGCCTCGAGGTCTATGGGTCCTCTAAAAGGCAGTCTGTTTCCTATTGTGCTCAATTTTATTTTCATGGGAGTGAAATTCACGCACCGTTGAGCTTGATCGATAATTAAACGATTTAAACCAATCAGAGACAACTTTGATTCCAGAGCTTTTGAATCAAATGGCCGTTGTAGTGAAGCTGTGGGTATTAGCCAATCATTGAGGGGACAGACGCAACAGAGTATGCCTAAAAATTTGTAAAACGAAGTAAACTACTGATAAATACATTCTGAAACGTGTTCAAGCTATTTCAAAGGGCGTGGCCGGAAAAATTTTCTGCTCGCTCCGCTCGCAGTGCAATAGGTGTTCTCTTGCAATTTTGTTAGTATCAACTGTACAATACAGCATTGGATTTGTTCCTCATTTTTTGCAGTCTCAAAGTAACTATGGTTAAAGAAAAGAGGCTACACCCCAACAAATATAGCAGATTAACCATTAAAAATGATAAAAACTGGTATCTTTTTAATATTTCATAGGTGCATGGTTTCCAGGTACATATCATTTTTGGCGACTTGTGTTTGTGATTGGAGATATCATACACAAGAATGGGCCCCCTTATGATGATTTTCTCCCGGCCCCTTTCTAGGAGCCACAATGCCCCTGTTTCTTCATTATACGTAGTACGGGCCCCTTTTCTGTATATAGCAACCCGAGAGATTTGCTGCCAGTCCGCCTCTGAAGCTTTGGGAAAACCTCGAAAATAAAAGATGAGGAGATTCGATGGAAGGCAGCAAAGGGACCTAAATCTAGTAGCGAGGCCTATATTAGAGAATTTTAAGCCCACATTTTCATAAGAGGGGCGGTAGAAACAAAGGCAATTCAAAAAAAATTATCTTGCAGCTTTACACTGACTTTTTCATGAGAAGGGCGGTAGGGTCGAAATCATTTCTAACAATTTATCGGTCTGCTTATTTAAGACATTGAAAGAGTTCAGTTAGACAAATGCCATTAAGGGAAAAAGTAAGAGTACTCATTGCCGTTATCAATCTATCAGGGAAATACCTTGAAAGGGAATGTTTTTTGCCACAATACAGTGTATTTGTCGTGAAAAAAGGCGTCAAATATACGATGGACAAAGAAGATGCCCTTCGCAGAGAAAATGATGGGTCACGTAGCGACATTCGAAGCGACCTTATCTAAAATGTAGACCTTATCTAAAAAGCTGGGGTTGAGGCAGAGGTTGACTGGCTGGTCGGGGTACCGGGCTGGGCCCCCCTCAGCAAGAGCTACAAAGGGCCCCTTTTCTTGTAGCAAATTGTTTCCAAGTTGTATTATTTAAGGTAGTAGTAGCTAGTGCAGTGGCGTAACGCACAGTGGTTGGGGTTGGAGCAACTCTTAGGGGCCCCCGCAGGTGTAGGGTCTTCTTAAGTTATGCAGCAAACTATTACTACTGCTACACATTTGCACTGATTAGTGAAAATCAGTACCAGTAGTAAGTTTGGGGTAGTAGAAGTAGTAGTAGGTAATCAGTACCACTGCCCGGGGGCCCTTAGGAGTTTCTCTAACCGCATACATGTGCGTTACGCCACTGCACTAGCTACTACTATCTCATATTGAATAACTTTGAAAAGATTTTCTACAGAGAAGGGGCCCTTTATGACCCTTGCTGAGGGTGGCCCTTGCTGAGCGGGGGGGGGCAGCAACTCAAGAATAACGAAAATAATTAGAAAAGGCCCTTCACGGCAAAGTCTCCAAAGGCGTAATAAGGCCTTCTGAAATTTCCCGTACTGGACAGCTAGAGATTATGATACTGCGTTGCCTCACCCGATGGAGAGGCAACCATGACAACCATCACATACTGGACAACCATGGCTCGTTAAGAGTTAGTGTCAAATTATGCAGCTTCTCAGGCTTCCTTGTTTCATTCGACCCTCGTCATCTCAGCTGATCGGCTTTCTCAAGCAACACATTTGCCAGCCGACGCAAAGAATTTCCTTCTACCATGCTATCGCTTATAATCGCTTGTCTTTGCAAGGAAACCAGGACCAGAAAATGGGTCAGTTACTTACAGGAGCATGATAACCTATTTTGTATCATCTGACTTGCTTTTTGCAGAACAGTCGAGGTTCCCTTTTCAGTGAGTGTTTCAGACAGAAAACACCTTTATACACGGCTGAAGGAACATGAGATCTAAAAAATACACACCTCGGCAGTGAAAGCCTACATGATTTACCAGTCGAAATCTGAATCAATCCAACGCTTATTTCAGGGACCAGTCATTGAGAGGCACAGGCACCAAGTGGAGCAACGACCTGCAGTCCTTGTTAGAATCATTTAAGTAATCAAAACATTGGGGAAGCAAGGGGTTGCGTTTAGGGGAAGAAGAAATGAATCTGCATAGAGCCTCCAAGATGATGATGTAAACCATGAAAACTTCTTGGAAGTGATAAAATTGGTGGCTATGTTTAAGAATTCACTTCAAGAGCACATCAGAAAAGTTACAGAGCGAAGCAAGGCTGCAAAGAAAAGGAATTCATTGATAGATAATGCAGGCAATGTTGGACGAGGAAGTTTTGTCACATTTCTTAGCAAGTCAACAGTAAATTCTCTGCTACAGATGTTCACAAAAATGATTCAAGAGGAAATTGCCAATGAAGTAAAAGGGACCAAAATTTATTCCATTCAGATGGACACAACTCAAGATATCAGTGGCCAAGATCAATGCTCTATCGTTGTGCGCTATGCAGACAAAGGATCTGTCCATGAGAGGCTTTTGAGTGTTGTCAAAGCAGGTGGTACCAGCGGTTTAGAATTGTTCAATTTGCTCAAGACCACTCTAGATCGGCTTAAGATTGATATTGTCAACTGTGTTGGGGACAGCTTCGATGGAGCAGCGAATATATCTGGTAAGTATCAAGGAGTGCAAGCTAAGATTACCGGGGTAGCACCTAGAGGCGATGAAAGCATATCGAGCATAAATACCTGATACATTATTATTTTTTTAATATTCAACACAGTTTTCGAGTTATTGAGCGTCAAAGTTAGCCACCAAACATTTTGCCGAGCACGGACGAGTTTGCCCGAGCCTTCTGCATAATCGTGACGTCACTAACACCATGTTCACATCACCTGAGCAATACGACGGTCTGGAAGGCCGTACTTTCATGACTCTGCGGATGAGCATCGATACATTAATTGAGTAGGTTTTGGCTCCATTTCAACAATCTGATTGGAAAACAGATTATGACTCCTTTACGAACCTTTCATAATAAGATTTGCAAGAATATCGTATTATTCAACGCGTATGAGGCCTTTCCTCCGTGTGTCGTGTTCGGGTTCCGAAGACTTAGGCCAAGAAATACTGCTAGTTTTCGTGTAACTCAGATGTGTATCAAGCTCAATTACCAACTGAATACAATTTACATAAAATTTGGATATCACATGTAATTCTAGTTTACATCAATCAACATAGCAAACACAAACTGTACAGACACAGCTAGATAACATAGTTACAGGACAGCAAATCAAAGTTATGAATTAACACATACTGACATGACACCGAAACCCAGCAAGGGCCAACATTACATCCGTCTTGCAGGACCCAGTGTGTAGCGGGCCAACATATCATATAATGGTAGCGATAAATATATTGACACGATTTTTATTTTTCGGAAACCTTAGCAAAAAAGGCTTATTTATCAGGTTTGCCATCCTGATAAATTCATGACACTTAGAGCGGAATTGCATCAAAACGGATAATAATAATTTCCCGAAAACTTGAAATTAAGATTCCATGCATCGTTTTCTGCATTATATTTTACATACATAGTTTTGCGTGTCAAGCCCTGGCCAAACCAGCGCAACATTTCGTCCAACAAATCCCAGCATTGTTGACTTTTGGGCATTGTTGGACATTTGTTGGATGCAGGGGTGGCCAAACCAACGCAACATTTCATCCAACATTTGTCGATTTATCATCAACCATCCATAGGGCCTAACCTAATTCACTTATTGAGCATGGTGATGGGACTTGATTACGAACAAAGCCATAAGGATGTATTTGAAATTTTGTTCATAGCAATGAAGAGAGCAAAAGCATGGTCAAGCGAAGCAAGAGTAGAAAATGGATGAAGAGAAGACACAAAAAGGGGTGATTTGAGAACATGAGCCAACAAAGCACATTCTTTCATTGTCTTCTGTGT